TGCCTGCAGTAAGTGATAAACTCTGAAGCTATTAGCAGGTAGCATATGAGAACTATCTCTAAATAATAGCTGCTGTTTTTATGGTCTCTCTTCCTGCGTCTCATAGGCTAGTCCAGATATTTTTGTTTTTTTTTCTAATAAAAGTTTTTTAGAAAATTTTGGTCCAAGTGATCGTCAGAAAAAGTTCGTTGAATTTTATGTAATTTACTAATTTTATATATTTATTTTATTGTATTTATATTATAATTAATATTCTAATCAATATTAAAATACTAATTTAAAAGATTATATTATAAAATATAGTAATTAATTTAAAGATTTTTAAAGATTTTAATAAGAAGTATACTAACAACACCATACTTTTAGCTTTAATTTGCTATATTTTTATATAATTGATAATAATAATAATATAATATAAACTTCAATTAGATTTTATTAATTAAAATATTATTATAAATAAATAATAAGCTAGAAGATTTAAAATTTCATAATCTTCTTTAGATAAGAAACTGATTAACAGGAATAATATACAAAATTCAGATCAGACATTAAGGCTCTGGTAGTTTATTTTTTTTTATAATTCGGCTGTTCTGCCACTTTTTATTGAGATTAAACTATACTAAGAAATTTATATTCCCTAATAATAGCTATATTTAATCCACCCGTAAAGTGACACACCCACGCTTTTGCCAGGTGTGCCTTGCCTCAGTGGACTTCAAGCCTCTCTTCGGGCCTCTAACTTACTAGAGGTTATTCTTTGGTTATTGGCTGGTGTCACACACCATATCTAAATTAACTTTCCTTTTACAAAACGAAAACAAACACAAATAGAAAGGGCATAACAAAAATGGGGAAATACTACGATGTTGAGATCTGGTCTATCTAAACCAATAAAACCAAATAAAACAAATAACGAAAAAAGAAAAACAAAGAAAAGAAAACAAAGATAGCACTATTAAACCTGTGTGAGATTGTAAAAATTATATAGTACTACAAATAACCTAGACTAAACTCTATGCTAGTTATTTATATCTATATCCAGGATGTAAAATATCAAAAACCATCTGGTTTTGAAGTAAAGCTCCAAGCGTCGAAACTTCTAGATGCTATCCCATCTCATCGACACGTCTTCTGCAATGTTTCAAATGTTATCACGTTATCTTACACTATAACTAAAGTAGACATATACACATGTATATGTCTTTTCTTTTTCAGCAATGATTGTTGTTGTTGATCTTTTGACAAGAGTACGCCGTTTTTCTCACTTTTTGGTGAAATTTCATAAAGACCAAGAGTGGGGATATGGAAGAGGGTTTCAGTTTGCGAGTAGCTTTAAACTTTAGTAAAGAATATGTTGAAAACTCGCTTGTTGTTCTCCTTAGATCAACTATCTTTAACTTCGTCAGCAGAAGCAGAGCTTCTATCAAAATTTTCTGTATAAGAGCACCACCTTCTTGCCAGTTATCTTGTACAGAAACGCTTTTAACTTGCATACTAAATATACAGAGGAGTTCAGGTAAAACATAGAAATCCTTGACCTCTGTAAAAACCATTATTTCGTCAGAAAGAGTTGATAATTTTGAGCTTATTAAAATTGTTTCATAGAGACAAATATATAGTAATTCTAAAAACACTATTAAAATTATACAATATTTGATCGCTCTTGGGATTCTGTAATTAGATTTTAACAATTTTGAGTTTGTTAAAATTGTCTCATTAAGATAAATATTTTGGTAATTAAACTATCCAAAATAGACCAGTAAATCAAAAGTTATTAGCAATTTCTTAAATCAAACCATATGGTTTTTACTATCATTAAATATATTTTGATAACTTTTATTAAAAGCCCAAAAGTGATTTACTTAGTAAAAAAAAAAGGTTTAGATAAGAGTACTTCACATTTAGGTTTATAATAAAATTTATTTATAAAAATTTGCAGATTTTCTCTGATTAACTGGCGAATTATAAATTAAATTACTACAGTACAAGACAGCAAAAAACATCCAATTTTTTTTCCTTTGGCAATTCTATTTACTTTATTCTGAAAACAGACTTTCATCTTTATATATAAAGAAATTTAAATCTATAATATTTCAACTAAAAAGTAAACTCATCTACAGCTTTACCTCACAGATGCTATAACATCCACTTGCAGTCAGAGTGAACTATTAAATTGCTATATTATGCCAAGATGCAACCTTTCTAGTAAACGATTGGCCTTCTCCAGAAATCCAAAACTTATTCTAGACTTATTTCATCTAAATTCATCAACTGAATGTTGTGCTGCTTCATCAAGATTAGATTTTCACTCTACAATAGAATATCACTAATCTGATGACACTTTCTTATAGAAAAATAAAAAAGAAAAAAAGAGATAATGAAAACTGAAAAAAGAGGTAAAAATAAAACTAATATATCAAAAAAAATGAATACTAATATTAAGGAATATAAAAAAACCAAACTAAAACCTAAAAGAAACTATCGCTAAAAAGATGAAAACCTGCTAATCAAGTGAAAACTTCTAACTATACAAATTAATAAACTACTATTAAATGCAAAAGTCTTGACTGTACTATAATTCATGTCAAAGTTTAAAAATTACATACTAAATACTAAACAAATTAGTTCCTACTTCTAGATTTATCTACCTAGTATATCAAAGTAAAAACCTGATAGGAAAAACTTCATCGACTAGCTTAGTTGTAGAGAGGTCAGAGCTGAGTCTCAAAGCATCATTTTTACTGATATCCATTGCATTTAGGCATGTGTATACACATGTTTGTTGTTTTGTTCTAATTTGAGAAATAAACAATGCCAACTTGTTTGGTATATATGTCATACGTCATAATGGAATCATAGTAGATTTAGAATCAATCTAGGTTGATTCTGAATAAACATAGATCGTAATAGAATTCTAAAATGTGCACAAGTTATTAAAGAATTCGGATTTAACTTAGAACGAAATAAAGTAAATTCTGAATTAAATTATTAATAAGTTATTTTAGAATTTAAATAGCTTTGAGATAATGCTTTATTTATATTATATTGCAAAGTATTGTTTTAAAACATTACGCATGGTTTTTACATTTATGGTTACTAGAGTGACAACTACTACCACAAGGCAAATTCATTTTTTTACATTTACAGTGATTTTTTTCACAAGTATTTTTGCAGTTGCATTTTACGTTGCCTACTTGTAATGATAATTGCGCGATAGATGCTTCCCGAACACCAATAAAAGTTGAAGGAATATTATCCAATTCCAGAAAATTATCTGGACCTAATGGAAGTAATTCATTTGCGCTATATGTAACTTTGATAATACCCGACTTACATCCAATTCTATATATATCGTCCTCTAAAGCCTCAAGAATCTTGCAAGGGAGTGTTTTCCGATTACTATGAGTTCTATCAATTTCAGGAATTTTGAGGTGCACCAAATTTCTAACGTCATATTTATTAAATAATCCTTTATTACTTTTATTGAGCTGCAATTTTATATCATCACGATATCGTTCAAGTGACTTTGTAGCTATACTTCGATAAAGTTGATGTGCTGATGTTTGTTGAACATTGGTCTTGTCTCGAAGAGTAGATTCGGAGTGTTTATCTAAAGAAGACTAAAGACAAAATAAATGTAATAAATGTTAATTAATTATTAAATTTTCAATTCACTAAAATGATGCTTAATTGCTTAATTACCCAAATATCAGTAGTAGACAATTTTGGCCTTTTAGTTGGTCGAATTTCATGATTATTTTCCTCAAGTAATTCTATCTGTTTTATAAAATTTTATTATTATTATTTTGTTTTTTTTTTATGACAATATAATACTAATACATACCCTCGTTGCTTTCTTTGTTCTTTCATTTACTCTTTTGTGCACTATCTCGTCATCATTTTCACCTGCGTCTATCCTTTTATCATTCATACCTTTATTATCTACCTTTTACCATTCATCCTCTCATTGTTATTATTATCCACCCTTTTGTCATCTACCTTTTCGCTGTTCGCCTTTTTATTGTTAACTCTTTCATCGTCCACTCTTTTATTATACACACTTCTATCATTTACTCTTTCAATATCCACACTTTCATCGTCATCTACTCTTTCATTGTCAACTCTTTTATCATTCACACTTTCATCATTGTGCACCCTTTCATCGTTGTTCACTCTTTCATTATCATCCACCATTTCATTATTCACCATTTTATCATAATACACTCTTTCATCATTATTCACTATTTCATCGTCATTCACTCTTTCATTGTTATTCACCATTTCATTGTCATCTACTCTTTCATCATCATCTACTCTTTCGTTATCATCTTTTTCGTTATCTACTTGCTCATTCTCCAATTCTTCATCAACGAGTTCCAGTAATTGTTGTTCCTTAAATTATTTAAAAAAAGAAAAAAAAATAATAATAAAAAATAAATAAATAAATTAATTAAATAATTAAAAAATAAAATATATAAATAAATAAATAAATAAATAAAATACATTATTGTATAAAAAATTTTTACCTTTACATTTAAAGCCGCAGCACCTAAAAGTGACTCCATGATTTCTTGTCGATCAAAATTGTCTTGGGGTTCAGAGGATTCGAACTAATTTTCAGATAAATCATCCTCAGAATTAATGTGTCGTTCTTTAATTTCTTTTAACAACATAAAATGACATAAAGGATTTTGTCCAAACACTAATGCGTAGGGACTATTCTTAGTTGGCCGTGATGTTTGTATATTCATAGCGTCTAATAAAAAAATATAATATATATTACTTTAATTAAAAAAATTAAATCATAATTCAAATATCTACAACAGCATAATGGTACAGTACGAGCCCAATCTCTCCTTTGCGTATCTTCCATCCATTTAGATACTTTTTGTTGAAGTATATTGTTCGCACGTTCTACAAGCCCTTGACTCTGTGGGTGCCTTGGGCGCCCATTAATAATGTGAACATCAGGCCATATGGTAAGTAATTCACAGATTACTTCCGCTGTAAACTCACGATCATTATCAGTCTAAAGAATAATTAGGGCACCAAAGCAGATGAAAATGGCAAAAAGAAAATTGCCACTTCAATTGGCCGTTTGCTGGTCAATGCATGAGCCCAAGAGTACCGGGTATAATGATCCCAAATATGGCAAATGTAATGATAATCATCATCAGGAATACTAGTCATGGAAATTAGATCAACCTGAACCCTATTAAGGAAAGCATTAGAGATTATTGGTTTTGCAGCTACTGGATTCGGAAAATTTCTTCGAGTTGCACATGTTGTGCAATTTTTTACGAATTCCTTTATAAAAGATTGTGGAATGTAACAGCATTGTTCTGAAACCTATTAAAAAATTAATATCAAATTTACTAATTCAAAAAAAGCGTAATCTCATAAAATATTTTAATAATATATACTGCCTCCTACAGTTTTGATGAACCAACATGCTTCAAAGCCCCTTGATGTAAACTGCATAACATTTCATATATCTTGTCAACGGGGCATACAGGTAGGTTTGAATCAAGTTTAATGAGTTGTATAATAGGGTTTATTGGCGTTCCAAGATCACGCAAAGTAAATGACTTTTTTGCCCAATAATGGTCTTTTGCGGTTCTGATTGTTGTATCCATTGGGTTTTGTAAAACTTTAATACAGAAGTCAAAATCCTCATGTATAATAAAAGTTTTATATCTTCTATTCACCGATTTATTATCAAGATACTTGGTAAGCAAGTTTTCAAATGCATCACGTGATAAAAATGGATATTCTTGAGGTTCAGTCATTGGTATGAGTTGGAAAGAACGAATGAATAAAATAAATAAGAGTTGGAAAGAACGAATAAATAGGAATTGGAAAGAACGAATAAATAAGAGTTGGAAAGAACGAATAAATGAAATAAATAGGAATTGGAAAGAACGAATAAATGAAATAAATAAGAGTTGAAAAGAATGAATAAATGAAATAAATAGGAATTGAAAAGAATGAATAAATGAAATAAATAAAAGTTGGAAAGAATGAATAAATAAAATAAATAAGAGTTGAAAAGAATGAATAAATGAATCAAAAAATCTTAATAAAAAAAGTATTTAACTCGTAGAAAATTTGCATAATTTATCATATGTAATTTATCAATTAATTGATTGATTACGTATATATCTATTAATAATATTGAATTTAGAATCAGCTTAAATTGCTTTTAAATTTCTTAACAACTTCGATTAAATTGGAATTCTGATTCAATATAAGTAGATTCTAAATCTACTATAATTCCATTATGACGTATGATATACATAATGTCAATTATTTGGAGAAGTAAGCTAAAATGCCTACTTTTTACAAAAATTTTCTTGAAAAAAAGTAGTAGACCAACGAAAGTATATAAGATTCTTTTTGTAAGGTTTATAGTTATATAGTCTAGCTTCTCTATTTCTACCAACTTAGAAGTGAATATTGGCT